CCCCCCCCCCCCCCCCCCCCCCAGTAGAAACTAACCTGCTTTTAACAGAAAACTATTTTCTCCCTTCTGTTCTCTGCTGCTTTCTTCACACCGTGTTCTAACTTGTAGAACAATTAGGCAGTAGTCCTACAAACATCCTCATTCACAATACAACTGTGGATTAGGTTTCAAGCACTGATTATTCTGTACTTTGGCTGATGTGGGACAATTGGGGGTGGGAAATTGTACGTTGCCATTTAACTAAAAATTACTGTAATGTGTGCAGAGAGAGGCAGGTTTAAGGTGGTACAAACAACTTAATTTTTTTTGAATGCTTAATTTCATAACATACATTTTTTAAAATAAAGCATGTAGTATAATTTTAGAGGTGCACCCATATATCGGCGCCATATTTGATTGGCACCAGTTAAAAGGAAAATTAACGTTATCAGCCTTTTTGGCTGGTGTAGCTGATAATATACTGACAAATACAATACACCTTCTGTCCAGGGCCCCTGGACACCATGTTCTTGTCTGCAGCTGCATGCATAAATGTGGCTAGGAATGCAGCTGGGCAGTGTGGAGAGCAGCACCCTTCAGATAAGTCTGTGGGGGGGGAGGCATGGGCAGATTGAGGCCCCCACGGTAAGGGGCTGGAGCCGTGGCAGGGTTGTGAATGGGACCTCGGGGGAGCAGGATGGAGATGCAGGCAGCTTGTCCAGGGGATTAGCGTCCCAGTGCTTTAAAAATGTTGGTGGGGCACTTGAACTAAAGGTCATTTAATGAGTTCAAGCACCCCCGCCATCATTTTTTAAACACTAGGATGCTTTTAAGTGCGGTGAAGTGCACTGCCCACTGTGGGTTCAGGGCTCTTCGCCCTACTTCCTTTACCTTGGGAGCATTGTGCTGGCTGTGCACCCTCTGGCAGCAGTGGTGATGGTGAGCTGTGCCTCCAGCTGTTGGACAGGCAGGGGACATGGCGCAGCCTGTGTGGCTCTCAGCACAAAGGCAGCAGGGCGAAGAGCCCTGAGCTCACAACGGGCAGCCCACCTCAGCTTCCACCCTGCTTGGATGTGGCACTTGAAGTAAATTTAATTCAAACACCCCCGCTGCCATTTTTAAGCACCAGGACACTGATCTTATGGATGAGCCACCTGCAGCTCCAGCCCACTCCCTGACTCCGGGGGCCTCGATCCTCCCCCTCCACAGACTTACCTGAGAATGGTTGGATCTTCAAGGAGATTCTAGCTTATCCTCCCAAAGAGGTTCTGTGTTCCCAGTAAAGCATTTTCAACTGCTTTTTTGGCTACAGCATTGGCTTGTTTTTAAGTTCAGAGTGTTCATATTAATTTACTATTTTTGGATGCTGCCAACATTTATCCTGAGAAATAGAAACAACTAAAGGAAAACTGGAGAATTTCAGCATTACCAGACAATTCAAAAAAGAATTGAGAGGCAACAGAAATATATCTTTCTGTCCCTTAACACTCCTTGTTAAATTTCAAACAGTTAAACTATTTAGGTGTTACAAAGGGGTTGCAATCTCTAAAAAGATGGTAAGAATCTCATGACGGAAAGTGTTGTCGACCTAAATATAGGGATTGCTACAATCTCCCTTTGTCAAGAAGTTGCACATATTATATATGGTGGAGTGAGTTTTGGCATGTGTTCCTAGTAGCCTTATTCCCCGAACTGATCATCCCAAAGCATTGCCAACAAATCCTTTCTTTTGCCATCGCATGCTATGAAAGGTGTTGTCATTTTACAGGGGAAAATAGGTTTTTGTTTTTGTGGGGTTTTTGCATGTGTACCTGCAAACCCAGGATATTCAAGTGCTATAAGTTGAACTTAATTGGCTGTGAAAGGAGAGACTTTATTTTAGAAACCTCTAAACTAGCTTGTTTGTAGATCATACTGTAGTGTTAAAGCTCTGGGATTTGTGTGCTACTTTCTTGAAACAAGTACCATCTTATTGAAGAACAGGGTACCTACCTAGCACTCCCATTGGATTGCAGCTTTTAAACTTGTTGCTTCATTAAATCGTACTGTAAATGGTTGTACTTTTGGGACTGAGTACAGCTGGCCATTGGCCCAAAGTGGGGGTTTTTAAAGCCATTCCATGTTATGTTTTAAATAGTGCTTTTGAAGGTAGTTCAGAGGTTTGGAATGCTGGAAGTAATTCTGATGGAGTGGCTTAGAGAGCACAATGCAAGGGAGGCAATCAAAGGTGCAACTTAAATCACAGTCATCACTTAGTACTTCAGTCTATGAAAAGGATTTAATTACTGCATATGTGGTTATATAAATCTGTACATAAACACGATCACGTGCTCCCTTGAACACTTGTGTGCTTTAGTGTAGTAATGTTTCAGAATGTGGCAAAGCTACTTTGAAGAAACTACTTGGTTCTGTGTATTCATCTCTGAAAACACAGTTTTCAAAAGATTGATTCACTTCAGTCCAAAGACATGAGGTACATTAAGTTGGGTAGTCACAAGCATCCTCCCTCAATCCCCCCCTCAAAAAAAAACAAACCCCCCCTTGTTTAAGTCCCATACTGTAGAAGAGTTTTTGTATGAATTTTTATCATGCTGTAGGAGCATAATAAATGCAGCATATTCTCCTGTATATTTTATAGGCTTTGCCATGGATAATTATATGGATATTTTAAGTTAATAGTATATGAAATTTATTTTAAATGTAGTTTGTTACTATTACTAACTTTGTTTTATATATTAGATTTAAATCATTGGCAGCATAGCTGAATAGTAGGCCTGTGTGAAGCAGCTAGTATTCGCTTTGGATTCGGGTGATTTGATGATTCGGTGATTTTGAATTGCTGTCCTGAATTGTTTTGGCCAATTTTCTGATTCAAATCAGCCAGGACCATCCCCCGCCTGCTCTCCCAGCTCCAGCAATGGCTGTCCTCCCCACCCCAACTCCTGGCACTTTGTGGGGGAGAGAAACCTCTCCCCCACTCACTGGGTGCTGCTGGGCAGGGGGGCAATCCCCACTGCCACCTACTGCCCCATGCTACATGGGAGGCTCTATGCAAGCTCCCTGCCCCGCCCACCACAGTTCCAGCCCTTTTTGGGGGGGGGGGGAGCCAAAGAAAAACTCCAAACTCGCTGGTTCTGCTGGCGGGGGGGCAATCTCTGCTGGGCTCTGCACAAGCACCCCGAAGCCCTGAGGCTGCTGCAGGAGTGGAGAGTCCCAGAGGTTTACTTTTTTTTTTTTTTTCTTAAAGGGCCAGAGTTGGCTTGGGCAGGGCTGGGGGAGCGAGGTGGGGGGGAGGTTGGAGGGCTTGTGACAGTCTCCCATGCAGTGGGGGGTAGCGGGGATTGCCTCCCTGCCTGGCAGCACCTGGTGAGTAGGGGCTGTTTTTTTTTTTTAAAGCCCTGGAAGCTGGGGTGGGCAGGGCAGCCATGCGGGAATGTGGTGCTGGGGGAGCAGGTTGGGCTTGGGGCCTGGCAGGGGTGTGTCCCCTCCCCTGCCCCTAGTACTTACCAGCCTCTAGTTTGGCTGTAGCTTTCAGGGGCTGCCTGAATCATCAAAGCTCTTTGAATCTTTTCTGAAGATTTGGAGAGCTTTGAATTGATTTGGACCTTTTTCTTGGTCCCCTGACTTGATTCAGATTCAGCCACTGAGTTGGGCTGAATCTCCTCCAAATTGAGTCGCCACCCAAAGCTTTGCACAGCCCTACTGAATAGGGTGCATTTTAAAGTAAGCAAGAATCACATTTGACAACTGTGAACTGTGCTTCTAGTAAGGTATCAGCACACTTCAACTAAAGCAGGATCTTGGTACTCAGGGGTTTTCTTAGTCAGATGGGAGATTTTAAGGGGCAGGATTGTGGTTTCATTTCCTGGATATAGCTTGAATAAAAGCTGATGCTAACCAATATTGCTGATTGATTGATTTTGTTTTGTTTTGTTTTTGTTTTTTCTTTTTCAGGCTGCTGAACAAAAAACCAAAGGTAATTAATAACTCTTATCTTGCCATTACCTATCTGATATGTGTATCTAGAATGCACTTCTGTTGTTGTTTTTTTGGATTTTTTATATGCATAAACTCAGTACTGGGGCTAGAAGATTTTTATAGTGTTATTCTGCAGATGTTTTTTTTCCTGGAGGGTGTAGGGAAGTACACTTCTAGTATTGCTGCTGGCAGATGATTGCAAGGGGGGTGGGGGGGAGGCTGTTTCACTATTTAAATGAATCTATCCTGTGCTTTAGATTTTACCATTATCAAACAAAATCCCAGCATAGAAACTCATTTAAAACTATATAACAAGATGTGCTCAACGTTGAGGTAGATATCACTTTCTTTCTAATTTCTAGAGGTTATTTCTTTAATTAAAATGCATTTGTCTAATTTTAAATCTCATGCATTGTAAGACATTAACTAGGAAAAGTGCTTTAAAGTCAGTTCCTAGGTGTATCGCCTCAATTGCTTTGAAGGATATGCATTTTTTTACTTTAAGAATATAATTTTTGTAGAATTCAGCACTTCGGGTATTGTACCTCCCTGGTGAAAGAACTTCCAAGATTTCTTGGAAGAGGTTAGCAAAAAGAGCTGACTTCTTACTGATATGCTCACAAGCTAGGACCCCTACCTGCTGCATTTGGAACCTTCTAGCTTAATACACGAGTGGGCAAAATGCGGCCAGACCATTCTATCTGGCCTGTGCGGCCCCTAAAAAATTTAGAAAATTAATATTTATCTGCCCCTGGCTGCCTGTCATGCAGCCCTCAATGACTTGCCAAAACTCAGTAAGCGGCCCTCCGCCCAAAATAATTGCCCTCCCTAATGCCTTCAGGACTGCTCCTCAGTGGAGGAGGAGCATCTTTTAAACGCTCTTGGCTGATCAGCTTACTTAAGGTATGTCTTCTACATTGTGATTGCTGCTGTGACTTCAGTTTAATGTTGGAAACCACCTAAGCTAGTTTTGAACTAACTAGCTTGGATACCAGTAGCAGCCCAGTGTTCAATGTGTACAGGTTGCGCAAGTGTACAGTCTGTTTTGTCTGAATTACAGTCCAGGCGTGAGCTGTCACAGCTCAGTACTTGGGCTGGTAAGTTTAAGTGAGTTCAGGTAGTGACTCCAGTGTACCCATTCTCTTTGTAGCTATGGTTCTTCAACTTTTTTGTACCAGGATCCATTTGTAAATGTCAATGGCCTGTCCCAACCCAGTGACCCTCACTCCTGACCCACTGACCCCAGGTTCCCCCACCTTTTAGCCTGTAGCAGCTTAACTTACTTACAGTTGGGCCAGGAACACTGATAGTCATTGCAAGGGAATGTCTGTTCTATGGCCCAGGGTTTCTGTTGTGTACAGAATATCAGCACTGAAATCAGTCTGCATACTTTCATCTTACTAACTCAGAAGTTCATTTGTTCACGTTTAAGTGTTCTTGCAAATAATAGAAATGTGTTTGGTCTGCTCCTCTAATTTTTAGTTTGTCATGCTCAGTGAAGACTCACTGGAAAGAAGAAAGAAAGATCACTTAAGATCTTTGGATAATGTCCATATAGGAAAATAACATTGTCGTGCTGAATGCTTGCTAAATCTTCTGTCTGGCTCTTGGGTTTATTGTGTTGGTGTCAGCTATCTGCTGGTGTTGTGCAAAGCACTTGTGCATCATAGATAGTACCTCATTACTTTCCTCAGGAGACTGACAGGGTAATACAAGATTGGTGCAGTGTGTTTTGAATTTTTTTTAAACCTAAGTGCATGTTTGCTTCAACTGAGAGTGCATGACTGGGTTGCTGCATATGTGGGTCTTACACTGGAGAATCCTGTGTCCTCTTTGAAGCCGAGAGCTCCATCCTGAACCCAATCCATGGGGCTCTCTTCCTGTACTTAATCAATGATAGTGACTGCCAGAACCTTGGATAAGATGCCATTTCTCCATTAGATGGCTAACACTGCTGGGAAAGAACCAGCTGTTCTCCCAAGTCCCCATTGTCAAGACCCCTGACGTCATCCAGAATGGGGTATTTTAAATTTTTAAGTTCCTCATAAGCTTGAGTTCTAATGCACTTTTTATTAAGACTTAGTCCCCTGTCCCATGGCATCTTTCTTCAGTAGGCTCGTTGCAGATTTTGCATTGATACCTCTGGAGACATTAGTGATTACAGACCCCTTTTGATCACAACATTGATTGTGGTCACTTTGTGAGGGATATTATGAATAAAATGACAGATTCTGATGTTTTGAGCCGGTGTATGTTGAAATGTGCTGCTTTTTTTTTTCCCTCCACGATCAGTTTTGGGTTTAACAGCTTTTACAAGTCTTCCAGCAGTTTGGGGCAGCATTAATGTAGGTGAGCGAATGAGAAAGAAAACTAACAACTGAGCAGTAGGTTTTGGTGGGCCACAAAAGGTGCCTCAAAATAAAGGAAGTGATCAAGGTAAAGAAATTAGGCAGGTGCAGAGTTGCATCTATCTCAGATCTGAAGAGATGCTTGTATGCCATATATTCCAGGAACCCTTAGAACTAGACAGAAGACAGTTGGAATGGTGGGAACAAAGAGAATCTTGAAAACACAATTTTATTTGGATAAAGAGGATGGGTTAGAACAGGGGTGTCAAACATGAGGCCCACGGAGTTGCATGATCTAGCCCATGGGTCCCTGGACCTGACCCCATGTACTATGTAGGTTGCATGTGGGCCCCAGTCTCGCGTGTTGTATGGAGTGTGCAGGCTGGACCTGATGCTGTACATGCCACAAGGTCAGTCTGGGGTGCACAGGGCATGCAGCACCTGCACTGAACCAGCACTGTATACTGGCTCCCCTGAATCAGCCCATGCCAGATTCAACATACGCTGGGCTGGTGGGATGCTGCATGTAGTGTGCACCGCCCCCCCCCATATTGGCCCCTTGTGCTGCATGCGCAGTCAGTCCAGCCCAAATTAGAACAATCCAACATAAAACATCAAAGAATCTGTCTTGGTTCATATAATGACATTAATCATTATGGTATTAGAAGAACTTTATATTTATTACAGCTGTATATCCTGTATTCTAGAAAATAGAAGAGAGATTGTTGAATTGCTGTAGTTAACCCATATGTTAGACTGTATGTATTCAAATAACTCTTGCTAGATAGTTCTTCCTGTATTCTCCATACATTATTTCCCATTGGATGCATCCTGTGCCAGCACCATCTGTTTATTTTGGCACTTCCAAAAACTTTTCCATTTTGTTATAGAAGCTCTTACTTGTAAAAGCCCATATTAACACCTTCTTTTAATTTCTGTGATAGGAGTAGGTCAAGTAAGGGAATAGATTCAGACTGTTATCTGCAAAGACAGGGCTATTCTGTACCTCTTGCTATAAAGCTGCTTGACCTGATGGGAAGAGAAAAGTGTGGTGAGTAAGTAGGCTCCTTTTCTCCCTGTCAAAGTAAAGAGTTAGCCATGGTAGTGTGAAGTCAGGCAGAAGGTAAGGCTGAGTGGTACTTTGGAGACCTGACCAATTCAGAGATGAGCTTTTGTAAATAATAGCAGCTTACTCGTGTGTGTGTGTGTGTGTGTGTGTGTGTGCGCGCGCGCGCATACAGAACAGTATAGCTCCTTAAATTTTTACTAGTTGAGACCACATGCCAGAGGTGGTTTTGGAGCTGGGGGGAAGGTCTGTGTGTGCTTGGTTTTGAGACGGACCAGACCATGAAGTTGTATTTCTGTTTTTGAGAAACTACATTTTCCCTTTTAATCTTTGCTCTTTAGAGAGCAAGCTACTAGCTTACATGTTTTGGTCCATAAGGAATGCTTGACCTCAGTCTGTTGTTGTGTGGCTTTAGGAACAAGAGCTGTTGTCAAGCTTTTACTTCCTAATTTTCCAAACAGACCAATGTCCTGCTGGAAAGTGAGTGTAACTCCAGGATGTCACCCTCAAACTTGTATCTGGGGCAGGATGTTATGTGCTCCATGGTTTGGTCAGGGTTTCCACAGTTGCGGCCAGGCAAAGTGTTTAGGCGCCACTTTGTACATCAGGTGGCCGCACCGGCCATGCCCAGTGCGTATCCTGTTAAAGATTGTCCACATGCTCCATGGAAGGTTGAAGTCCATTGTTGCGTCAGAGACTAGGTATTTATTTGGGAAAGTATTTTCTACCCCAGCTTTCCTCCAAGATTCTTCAGTATTGTGGTATAGGAGGTGCTCGGTTCGTGTCCAGAATTTTTTATGAAATTATATAATGAGTAGGGAGATTTTGAGGGTCTTGGTAGATGGGGAAGGTCCAGGTTACAAGTGATACACATTATTTATCTGTATGTTGCTAAATCCCGTCGAATTGAGGGAGGAGTAATGTTTGAAAGTGCTGGTAGCCTCTATAGTACACTAGAGTTGATATCATAAAATTCCAAAAATAGTCCTCATTACTGAGTAGAGTTGTCAGTGAGTTTTGAATACTAACTTGAGACCCAGACAGGTGCACAGTACTCAGCTGTTGAGAGAACCAGGGCTACAGCAGAAGTGAGGAGCATGGTGGCTTTTGCATTCCAGCTTGTGCTGGTGAGCTTTTGGATGATGTTCACTTGTGCCTTTGTTTTTATGGCAGTCTTTCAGAAGTGATGACGACAAGTTAGAGGAGTAGTCAAGGGTCTCCACAAGGTAAGTAAGAGTTGGGTCATGAAACACTTATTCTACACCAAAGGTGTCATTGAGGGTGTTATGTGCCTTGCAATTTGTTGAGATGGAATGTGGAGATGATGGACTTGGTTGCATTTGGTCATGGTCTCTGCTAATGGAAGTATTCAGCCATTATTGATGCATCAGAGTTCAGTGTGGCTTCAGTATCCTGAAAAGGCTTTGCCTGTGGTGGTCAAAGTGATATCTACATCAATGATAAATTTCCACAGTGATTTGAGTAGGACGTATCACTTACGTGGATGTTAAAAAGCATCCGTGTCAGAACACTACTGTGTGGGAAGCCATTGTTGAGTATTCTTGGAGTGCTGACCTTGGCTCA